GTAAAGGTGACAGTAGTGCCCTTGGAGATCGGTGCACTCGGAGCAGTGACCCAGAAGCTAGAGGAGAGGTTATTACAGCGGATCCCTGGAACAACCTCGGACATCTCGGTCCAGAAATGTGCAGTGCTAGGAACAGCAAAGATACTGCGCAGAACCCTCAAGCTCCCAGGCTTCTGGTAGAGGACCCGAGCTTAGAGAGGGATAACCGCACGCGCAGAGCGAAAGGTGAGTGTTTTTTTATTTCATTTTATATATATATATATATATATATATAGAGCTGCAGTCATGCTCTTCACCCTACCTCTATATCTAATAATAATAATAATATTGATAATAATGCATAGGTTTTTATAAAGGGCTTTTCAGGACACTCAAAGACATCATTATTCTTTGAGTGTCCATGCACATGTCATTACTCCATACATGGAGTGAAAGGATAAACTGGATAGTACTGGATAAAATACTACTGTAGCCACAGCCACTAACCCACTGTTTATGAATGAAAAACATAATGTAGATATCACAGAGACCACATCAGCCCCTAACAAGTTATCAATATATTATTAATTTCAATCCCTGTAGAAAAATACATGGAATTTTATTTGTGGAACCAGGAAGTGGGCAGGCACTGTAAAGCAAACATATTACAGAGATTCTTTATTTGTCCCACAGTGGGGAAATTTCAGTTACATATAATTGTGCACATCAACACTAACATTTCCCGGCTGAAAAATCCTCTTATCTCATGAATGTACATGTTTGAACGTATATGTATAAAGAAGAGCAGTAGTTATGAGTAGTAGTTTGAATGATAGCTGTTTAATACTTTCACAGTCATATGAAAACTATTCCAGAGTCAGCAAACATTCATTATCTCTGAACAGGACACTAAGTGAAACAGAAACATTGACAGCTGCAAAAAAACCAAGCCATTTCATTATAACATAACAGTTTCAGTCTTAAACGTACAGATGTGACTAGTTTTCAAAGTTTTGTGTTGTGACTTCCTGGTTGGACACCAACTACGGGTGTGTATGACCGTCAGGAGTGCACTGGCCGAGTGCTTATTTTAACATTTGTTCACACTGGTGTAACTTTTCTCTGTAATAGGGGGAGACGTGTTGCTAACATGGTTGCTAAGGCCAGCTCTAGTTTCCCCTGCGAAAGAAGACATTTGATTGGTCAAACCTTATGGCTCATATCTGGATTTATAAAGACAATATCACAATATAAACAACGGGAAAACACATATTTGTTTAAAGCCCAAAAATAATGAGTGTGACACAAACTGAGCAAGAGGAGCCTACTTTTCAATGTAAGTCAATAGGAGTCAGAGCGAGTTGGAGCAAAACTTCAACCATGAGCCCTTCCCTATAGCTGCATTGAGCTAGTGAGTTAGCATTGACCATCTGTATACATCCATCCATCCATCCATTTTCTTCCGCTTTATCCGTTGCCGGGTCGCGGGGGCAGCAGTCTAAGCAGAGACGCCCAGACTTCCCTATCCACACACACTTCCTCCAGCTCGTCCGGGGGGACCCCAAGGCGTTCCCAGGCCAGCTGAGAGACATAGTCCCTCCAGCGTGTCCTAGGTCTTCCGCGGGGCCTCCTCCCGGTGGGACGTGCCCGGAACACCTCCCCAGGGAGGCGTCCAGGAGGCATCCGGAACAGATGCCCGAGCCACCTCAACTGGTTCCTCTCGACGTGGAGAAGCAGCGGCTCTACTCCGAGCTCCTCCCGTGTGACTGAGCTCCTCACCCTATCTCTAAGGGAGCGCCCAGCCACTCTGCGGAGGAAGCTCATTTCGACCGCTTGTATCCGCGATCTCGTTCTTTCAGTCATTACCCAAAGCTCATGACCATAGGTGAGGGAGGGAACGAAGATTGACCGGTAAATCGAGAGCTTTGCCTTTCGGCTCAGCTCCCTCTTTACCACAACGGTCCGATACAGCGACCGCATCACTGCGCACGCTGCACCGATCCGCCTGTCAATCTCACGCTCCATTCTTCCCTCACTCGTGAACAAGACCCCGAGATACTTGAACTCCTCCACTTGAGGAAGGACCTCTCCACCCACCTGAAGAGGGCAGGGCACCTTTTTCCGGTCGAGCACCATGGCCTCAGATTTGGAGGTGCTGATTCTCATCCCAGCCGCTTCACACTCGGCTGCAAACCGTCCCAGTGAATGCTGCAGGTCCTGGTTCGTTGGAGCCAACAGGACAACATCGTCCGCAAACAGCAGAGATGAAATCCTGTGGTCCCCGAACCGGACCCCCTCCGACCCCTGGCTGCGCCTAGATATTCTGTCCATAAATACAGTGAACAGAACCGGTGACAAAGGGCAGCCCTGTCGGAGGCCAACATTCACCGGGAACAGGTCTGACTTACTGCCGGCAATGCGAACACAGCTCTGGCTCCGGTCATACAGGGACCGGATGGCCCTCAGCAGAGGACCCCCGACCCCGTACTCCCGGAGAACCCCCCAAAGGACACCCCGGGGAACACAGTCGAACGCCTTCTCCAAATCCACAAAGCACATGTGGACAGGTTGGGCGAACTCCCATGAACCCTCGAGTATCCGATGGAGAGTATAGAGCTGGTCCAGTGTTCCGCGACCGGGACGAAAACCACACTGCTCCTCCTGGATCCGAGATTCGACCATCGGCCGTAGCCTCCTCTCCAGTACCTTGGAGTAGACCTTACCGGGGAGGCTGAGGAGTGTGATCCCACGATAATTGGAACACACCCTCCGGTCCCCCTTCTTATAGAGAGGGACCACCACCCCGGTCTGCCACTCCATTGGCACCGCCCCCGATCGCCACGCGATGTTGCAGAGACGTGTCAGCCAAGACAGTCCAACAACATCCAGAGACTTTAGATAATCATCTCATCTGTATACAATCTATGGTATATTGCACAGTTCATACACAAAGCAACTCAATAGTGATCTATTTTCTAAATGAAAATAGATCAAAAACTTTGCAATAACATGATAATCCAGGAGTAGATTATGACAGTTTAAGAACACGAGTCAGCACATTTCGGATGCATTTACATGATATTGTTGTAATATCGTGTATCGTCATATGGGAGAAACCATGTTAAAAGTCAGGCTACTTTTGAAACTGGGGATCCTAATTTTCAAACTCTGTGATAAAAAGCAGTCTACTTCTTTGTTTTGTTTGTTTCCACATGCATGTATAGCTTTTTTCAGATAGAGAGATAACAAACTCACTCAGCCAATCAGCCCAGAGTCAGGACTAAACATGGGAAGGCAGCGTTTCATATTTATGCAGCTAAAATCTGAGACAGTCTTCCTGAAAAAGTGAAACAGGTTTCAAATCTGACAATGTTCAAATCAGGGTTAAACCAGTTCTGTTTAGCTGTGCATACAACTGAAGGATTGTATCTCCGCTATTTTTAATGTACTGTGATGCTTTATGAATTATTTATCATTGTTTGGTTAAGCACTTTGAGTTTCCTTGCGTATGAACTGTATGATATTGTATTCATGTTGTAAATTTGTCAAAAGGCTGTATTGCTCTAGCTTGTCTCTAAATTGCGGGCTGCTGTGTATTTTTATGTGGCCCTCCACTTTGCCAACCAAGCCTGGCCTTAGCCATCCGTCTTCCATCTCAGCCTCTAACTAAGTTTGGTACCACAGATTTGAAAGACCTCCTGTGTGTTACTAGACACCACGGGACCTCAGCGACTTCAAGCCAGAAGCTCTGATGTCCCACAAAGACACTGGAGAGGATCCACTCCTCTCCAGGATCCATTCCACCTCCTTATCAAGGCAGGGAAGACTAAGGAGATGGTGGTGGATTTCTGCAGACATCACTTTGCTGCTCCAACATCCAGGGAAGGGACATTGAGACTCTTACCTGGGTGTTCATTTGATCCACAAACTGGACTGGACTCATAATACAGAGGCCCTTTTTAAGAAGGGCCACTGCACTCACCTGCTTTTGGAGTGCAGTGGCCACTTCTGAAGACCTTCTATGACTTTGTTGTAGCGTATCACAGAGAGGGACAGATGCTGGACAAGATCATCAGGAAGTCCAGCTCTGCCCTGGGCTGTCCCCTGGACACTGTAAAGCAGGAGGGGAACAGAATGGTCCGGGAAAAACTAATATCTATGCCGGACCATGACTGTCACCCCCTACAGACCACTCTGTCTGCTCTGGAGAACAGTTTCAGTGACAGACTCAATCACCTTTGCTGTGTGAAGGAGAGGTTACGCAGGTTTTTTGTTTCTGTTGTGGTCAGACTGTACAACACAATATCTGAACTCTGAACTGTCAAGCGCTTTGGGTGACCTTGCCAATATGAAGACTAACTAATACTTCTGACCTGACCTCACATGTTTCATAGTTTGAAATAATGTCAGAATGTGGCACATGTGTCTCCTGTGAATAAGTAAAATGACTTATCCACTTTGTCCCATACCTTCATGCTGATGTATTCATAAAACTATATACTTGCACAAAACTAAAGAACATGTTATACTTTCTTCATTATACTAAAGTTAGAAACTTCATTTCATTTTAGTATAGAAATATTGTTCCCTTAATTTGTGCTATGTGCTCCTCATTCTAATGTTTTGTAACTGGTGATGCAATACACAAATTTCCAAATTCTGGGACATTTAAAGGATCTCTTAATTTTAATTCTATTTTGATATATCTGGAAATATGTGTTGTCAACCCTCGAAATAAATAATCTTAAAAATAAATACTAAACATATAATGAAGCAATTATCTCATGTAATTTAAGTTAAACACATTGTAAATGTAATGGAAACAGGCCTTCTTCCATGCTACCTTTGCTACCAAAGGAAAAAGAAATCCTGGACACTCCCCAGCACTAAACTAACCATTATTTAAAATCGACGCGTAAAACTGTTCACTCTGGACCTGAAGTCTCCAAAACAGTCTTCCCACAGTAACCAACAAATCCATAACCAAGCATATTAACCACAACTGCTTTCCAGCTACTCACCAGAAGAAGAATTTGGACACAAAGTTTGCATCTTCCACGGGCGATTTCTGCATCCTCACGCGCACCTGACCACCTCTCACATCGGCCCCCTTTTACTGTCTTTTAAAAAATCCTCCAGTTCCGGACGCACCGCTCAACTTTGCCCAAATAAAACGCACCATAAACTCTCCTTGCTGTCACATAAAGCAGCATTCAAACCAGCTCCTGATTCACAGCAATCCAGGAGGGAGATAGGAGAGTATCGCCGCTTCTCTCCGATGTGAAGGTGCGTGTCGTTGCCAGATACTTGTGCCAAAGTTGTAGCGTTCAGTGGCGCAAACAGGACAGTCCCATCTTTTATGACCGCTGTGAAGGCGCGCGTCATTCCCAAGCATCCAAACACAACAGAACAGGAGAGACATGTGGGTGCGCGCGGGCATGAAGTCACTATAAAGGAGAGAGAGGAGAAAAACAAAAGCCTCGACGACCGTAAAAAACGGCTGATTCAGAAGCGAGATACGGGAAACGTCCTTTCAATCATGTGGGATTGAAACAGAGTGCGTTATTCATATGCAAATTTGGTTTTACAAAGTTGACGCGTGCGTAAAACAGTGGGAGCGCGGGGGATGTTTAATAATCAAACAATTGAAGAAGATAAAACAGGTGCAGTCTTCTTATCTGTATTCAAATCCTTGAAAAGCAGCACTACAGAGAATTGTTAAGACATAATGTTTCTTTATCTATTTATTGTTTATTTGGTTGGGACAATACATGTAAATGAACACATCACTACGGACTCAAACACACACTCATGCACCCTGACCTATTGCACGTGTATTTAGTGGTAGGGGAAAGTGGAGTCCCCGGAGGAAACCTACACAGACACAGGGAGAACAAGCAAACTCCCCTCAGAAAGGTCCTGTTCCGACCGGGATTTGAACCCACAACCTTCTTGCTAAGAGGCAAGAGTGCTATCCACTCAGCCACCTTCACAGTTCATATACACAAGGTTCATACAATCATAAATAAAAAGTTACTATCTTTCAGTTATGCACAACTAAACAGAACTTTTTTTAATCAAGAGTTTAGCTGCATAAATCCAAAATGCTGCCTCCCCATGTCCCTGTGCTCCACAGAGTCCCATGCCAGTCCGTGTGCTCCTGAGAGACTCTGAGCCACAAGAGTTAGCAGTTAAGTTGGTCTTACATACAAACGACTTTCCAGGCAGGAATCATATTCTGGACTCAGAAGCTGGTTTGAAGAGAAGATGACTATTGGATATTTTATCTTTACCAAAGTTTGGCTCGTGGGCCTAACGTGGTCTTGATGTGTTTTAAGTAAGGGTGGACTGGGGCAGACCCTGGACTCTCCCGTTCCAGACCTTCAATCGTATGTCAGGACATTTCCTGTAATATTTACTATATTCTATATTATAGGCAGTGACAACAGATGAGCTCACTTTAGTTCACCAGACTTGTCCAGCGTTTGACAACACAGATTGCAAAACTTTAAAGATTTCAGGCTGAGCTTCTGAGCTTAAAAACTAGGTTCCACATGACCTCTAAAAAGTGGATTTGGACTGAGGAAGTTTATGTCCACATTCACCCCGTTTCCAACAGCCGTCCTTGGATTCACATTTGACAGAGGTGAAGTTGGCTAAATGACTACATGGCCAACATTAGCGCAATATACAAATTGTCATGCCACAATCAAAAATAAATGCTAGGTTTTAATTTGTTTGTCTTATGTGTTGTCTACAAAACTAATAACTTGTAGTCATGTGTAGTATCATAGTAACACGTGTTTGGGACTGTAATAGGAGTCCCAAATGTCCACTTTGACTGAAATAGTGAAACTAGGAGTTTTACAAATGAAACTTTTTAATCTCGTTTTAGTTTCTGGAGCGTTTGAGAGGGAGGATCAACACACATTCCTCCCAAGAACAACAGATAAGGAGTCAGGGCTTTTTTTCTCAGTAGTGTTAGATACAAACAAGTGTATTGCGCTTATAATAATGAAAATAATAATAATAATGCATTGGTTTTATAGAGCACCTTTTTGGACACTCAATGACGCTTCATATGTCATTATTCATTCACTGACCAGAAACAGTCTGTGCCATTGACCCCTCCGACCACCACCATCTGCACTTTAGACAATGAGATTGACCCATGGACTGTATGGACAATGCGCCTTAGACCCCCTCGCCCCTCCAATTAATTCAGGCTATTAACTTAAATTGAAAAGTAAACTCCTCTAGCTCAGTAACCGTTTGTATTACATTACATTTAGAGATAATTATAAATGATTTTGAGATTAAAAAGGAATAGAGCCGGGTTATTATATTCTTATTCCATTATCTTCAATAATAGATCCTGTTTGATATGCATAATAAGACTGTTCTTAGCTGAAGTTGGTTGAATGAAACTGTGAATTTGTGTAAAGTTCACAAATTAGGTTTTATTTGACAGCATATACAGTGAGTTATGAAATGTGTAGGTATGTGCAGAAGAAGACAGTTTTTGTGTGAAAGCTACTGTATCTAACTTTGAACCCACAAAACATTTAGCTACATAATAAAATTCAAAACAGTTTGCTTCTATTGCTAGTTTTCACATTCATGAATGTTTGTCACATCTTTAGATCAGCTTTTCAAGACAGAAGAGTGACAAAGAGAATACCAACCTCGACTCAGCCAATCAGTGCGTCTCTGAACCTGGAAATGGTCGCCACATCCAAGTGAAAGAGCGTCCTCTGCTGGCTATGGCTCGACTCTGCACTTCTCACAGCAGCTGAGGGTGGGACACAACAGCTGATTGACTGTTTAACCCATGGGGAAAAGACATACAACATAAACAGTGAACATTTCGTAAAACAAGACAAACATTGCATTTGAATTAATAAAAAAAATACCCCCTCCTCCACTGCAATATAAACTTTGTTAATTTCTCTAGTCTACAGGAATAGTGTCTCTTGCTGAGATTTTCCCAAATTTTAGGAAAGAACCGCCCTCTTCACTTTTTGAACATAACTCTCTGGTCTTATTTGACGAAAGCGTATCACCAGAATGATTGACAATTGGGAGGACCAATAGTCTTGATGAACCACCCGAAAGAAGAAAATCCTCCTATATACCTTTAAGTGAGGAGATATGTTTTATTACATTTCGGATGCAGCCCGGTTGTGCCATATAGAAAAAAAAAGTTTTGGACTGTTTGAGCGTAAAATAACATAATAAGTGAACATTTATAAGCGTGGATTTGTAGTTTTTCGTTGATTTGGTGGAGTATTACTTAATGATATATTTGAAACCGAGTAAGTTTACTTGCTGAAGCAAGTTGGAGTTTCTCCCTTTGTAAACCTGCCCTTGACTCAAGTCAATCCATTTGTGAGGTGGTCTTGGAAGTGCTTTGTGCGATAGACAGCTAATTTCAATCAACACCGCGATAGAAAAGTGTAAATTAAATTAGCTGGCAATTGGTTGCTTTAAGCGTTTTTTATCAGTATTTAATTTATTATCTTCACCTGGCTGTAGTTAGCGGCGCCCGCCTTTGCTAGCTTAGCACTGACGTCCCAATAGCTTCATTAGCTTAAAAAAGGCAAAATGGGTTCCATAGAGTTCGCCTATCCCGCTGGAGACGAAAGTGACAGCAGCAATGATGAGTGGGACATCGGTCTCACGGTCAAAAGGTCCTCAAATCCCGAGGTAAATAATTACATTAAAATCGTACAGAAGACTGCTTATCCGGAGCTGGTCTGCTAATCAAGCTAACATCAACGACACATACCCGCAAACTTACGTCTCACATGTAGTTTAGTTAATGACACATGTTGACATCTGTATAGAGCAGTTAACTATTCATAAAACTGCCAATATTCATAGAGCTTTTTTGACACTCAAAGTCTCTCCTCAGAGTACTTGCAGGAGACCAGTCCTTCTAGTCCTAATCCCAGTTGGTTCATATTGCAATAACACTAACATTTCACAGATAATCTAACCCTAGGTGCGAGGCCACGGAAGGACACAAGTAGAGCTGCTCTTCTATTGTCTGTGAGCCACAGGAAGCCAGTGCATATACCAGAGATCTGGACTATTGTGATTGCACTTCCTAGTTCTTGTCAGGACTGGAACTGCAATGAGTTATGAGTAGACTGGGGAATATAGATAATGAATGTGTAGGTAGATGGATGCTAAACAAACAAATCTTCACCCCAGTGGATATAATGTGCCTAATAAACGTCTCTGCTCTGGTGAGTTGGTGATATTGTTTCTCATACATTTTCTGACTTGTACTTGGTTTGTAGAAGGAGGCTGACCCTGCGCTTGCTGACAATAACAACGCAACAGTGATGAAGAGAGCCATCAGCAAAGGAGACATTGAAACTTTGGAAAATCTGCTGGACAATGGTGAACATATGAGACGCAGAAAAAGCCACTTTTTAAAATGTTTTTTTCAGAATGTCGTTTTAGAGTTTTGAGAGTTTAACAGAAATAAGCGACATAACAAGCTATCTGGAGCCAATTCCCTTTTATATGGAAATTTGTTCGGTAGTGTTGGCTTTGCAGGGGCAAACATGTTGCTTATGCAAGTTTGAGTTCACATCACTGGGTTCACATCGAGTGCTAAACCACAGATTTTCTAAATCCAAAATGGTGAGTGCGATAAAGTGAGTTAGGGGAGTTTACTTTTCAATGTTGAAGCGAGTTGGAGCAAAACCTCCTCCATGAGCACTTCCCCACTGGGCTTCTTTTAGATGCCTGCTTTGCGTTGTTCATCCATATACAGTCTATGGTCTATCCCAACATAAAATTAAATTAGTAATGAGTCATCTATGCATAGTTTCATATGCATTTTTGTTTTCAGGGCTGGATGTGGACACCAGACTGGATTATGAGTGGACTCCTCTGATGTGTGCCGTCAGCGTGGCCAACGTGGAAATGACCAAGATGCTGCTGGACCGTGGAGCCAGCGCTAACTTCAGCAAAGGTCTGAGCGTTAGTGTATAGAGTAGTGGTCTATAACCAGACCTCAAAGGGCTGCCGGTTTTAATTCCAACCCAGCAGGAGCTACAAAATACAGAGCTTATTACAAAATAAATGATCTCAGACAAAAAGATGCCCAGAATGAAGGGATATTGGAGTTTGCATGTTTTCCCCATGGCAGGTTTCCAGCGGGTGCTCCAATTTCCCCTATTACTAAAAACATGTACAATAGCGGGCCTGGACTCAATTAAAGCCATAGTTCTTAAAGTAGTCAATTTTGTATAACTAGTTGTTTTTGCAGGAAATCTGATATTTTGAGCATCATTGCTGCACTGCCTTTTATTAGAGAAATCAATGTGTTTAGTGGAGTTAAAGTTTAATTAAAGACAGCCCGCGATTGAGCTGTTAACTGATTGTGCACGTTTCTCCTTTATCTCAGATCTGCTTTCTGCTTTCCCTGTTCTTGTCCCTGTTCTCTTTGTTTACTTGGAGCCGGGGGCAGTAAACCGCTCGGCTGCGTCTGTTCACGCCTGGAGTAAATAAACGGTCACAAACCACTTATCAATCACATAACACTGTAAAATCTGTGCGAGTGCTGTTTAACCGTTACTGTAGTGATTAGAAAAGGAAAGGATCTTAGTAAGACTATTGTCAAATCTCCATTATCTAATGTGTGGACATGAGCAGAATGGACTTACCACAGCTTTGGACCGAGGGATCCATGGATAATGTGGCAACAGTGTGATAATCAATAATAAACCCAGGATGAAATGAGCAGTTGGGGATTGTAAGGATTGCATCGCAACTGGGGAATTACTAATACTAATTTATGGGCAATTTGTTTTAAAAGGCAGAAAAAGAGTTTTATCATACTATTACAGAAGTGGCGGAGTTACATACTTGTGCCAGAAGTTCCTGATATTAGCGTGGATGGATCTAAAAACAACTCCAGGTCTGTGACTGATGAGGAACAGTTTTGGAACAGAGAAAATGGAGAGAAGGTAGAGTTTCCTAATATGTCTCCTTTAAGGAGGCACGGTGGCTGAGTGGATAGCACTCTCGCCTCTCAGCAAGAAGGTCCTGGGTTCAAATCCCGGTCGGGCCAGGGCCTTTCTGAGTGGAGTTTGCATGTTCTCCCCGTGTCTGCGTAGGTTTCCTCCTGGTACTCCGGTTTCCCCTACCACTAAAAATATGTACAATAGGTTTGGCATACGCCTCCTGTACTTCGCTCCCATCTCTGTGTGGAGTGAGAGACAAATGACCAAAAATAAAAATTGTAAACCGCTTTGAGACTCAGATCTGCAGTGAAAAGGTGGTCTATAAATAAAGATTACTTAATTACTTACTTTAAGTCATGGCTTTCGCTCAGATCACTGGACGGTGCTGATGGCCTGCTGCACGGCCTCCGCTCCAGAGGATAAGATCTGCAGTTGTCTGGAGCTGCTTCTGTCCAGGAATGCGGATCCCAACATGGTCGACAGGTAAAACTGCTTCTGTACGAATACTCCCATGCAAACGTAGGTTGCACACACAACAATCACATTCGGGCCTAAACGCAAAAATATATTTAGTAACTAATCCAGTCCATACAAAGCCAGCAGTGTGTTTTCTGACGTCACCATAGTGTTAGCCTTAATGCGGAGAGGTTGATTTGAACATAAGCTATCTGAAGCCAATTTTCTTATGTGGACATTTGTTTCGACCTTGTTAGCTTCCCTCAATAACAGGGGAAGAACATGTTGCCAAGATGGTTGCTAAGCCAAACTAGAGTTTCCCCCACAAATTAAGCCAACCAAGATAAACCAAGATTTTTAAGCCCAAAGTGATGAATGTGACACAAACGGTAACAGAGCTAGAGGAGTTTGCTTTTCAATGTAAGTCAATCGGAGCAAGTTGAAGCCAAACTTCGTTGTTAACCACTTCCCTATTGGGCTTCATTAAGGTAGCGGGTTTGTGCTGTCCGTCGGTTTAAGCCTATGGTCAAATGTGCCAACAGGCTTCATACCCAGAGTAGATTTTTCATTGATTCCGTCAAGCTTTAATTTGAGAGCGATCTTTCTCTTTCATTCTCGAGAGGCACAGAAACAAGCTGATTCAAATCGTGATGTGGCACAATCCGTGACGTCAAAAGCATCATGGATTGACAGCTGGGAGAAACTGAACCAGCGAATCAGTGCCGTCTGTGGTCAGCCCACGCAGCCTCTGTCCGAGTCCAGCGTGTGGTCCATAGACAGTAAATAAGCGTCTGTGCTTTTTTTGTGTTATTATGTCAACTTGGAGAAAATGTGTTGTTGGTGTAAATATGTGATAAGAGTTCACGGGGATCTGCCTCGAGTCAACGGGTCTGAAATCCGCGAGACTCACAGATCTTTTTTTGCGAGTGACGGTGACACCACCAAAGACTGTTCCAGAACTACGGTTACCTTGAAACGGGACCTACTCAAAAGCTGAGCTGGAAACATTGTGTTATTTCCAACATAAAAGCCTCGGTCTGTGAGTACAATGCAACTAACTTGCGTATGTCACTGTGAACTAAATAATTGGGGTCTGATTCTGGATTGAGGATATAGGGTTCTATGTGACGGGTTGCCATTGTTGGAAAAAGTTTAATCTCAGGTGTGAAATGACTGTAACAGTGAAAGCTGTACAGTTATGTTTACCTCTGAACTTAGCGTGATGCTACGTCACCGTAAGGGCGGGGGGAGGTGGGCTTACAGGCAGAGGAGCACTGATCAGCCTGTTTTGAATGTTGTATGGTGTATCACCCAAATTATTATTACACATGTACATAGGATGGACAGCGAAAATTTAAGAAAAGTGAAATATGGCACAATGCTGTTTTATAGTTTTCCAGTGGGCTAAGTTCTTGAGACTCATTGTCATCACTGCTGACACACTCCTCACATCTCTGTTGTAAACCGTGGTCTCCTCCTCAAACACCAGAGCTCACATTCCTGCTGCCTTCACGCGACCGTCGACTCGTAGTAAATATCCGTAAATATTCTGGATTCCTGAGGAGCATTCAAACACGGCCCTAAAATGTGTCTATTTACTCCCCATGGTTCAGTTGTGAGCTGCAACCTGTCCACAAATCAACACTGCACCAAACCGGGCCACATGCACGCTCGCAACACTACATGCACCTTCCTGGACCACATGTTCGCTTTGCCGGGGGTCCTGGAGCGACAGAGTGCTTCATAAACAAAATATTTCAGTCAATTTTGAGAGGATTTTGTGAGAATGCAGAGTCGTGCAGCGGTGGAAATGGACTGGTTCATGTTTCGGTTTCTGCAGCCTGTATTGAAGTGGTTTCTGCTCGTGAGAGGGTGTGAAGTTGCATAAAAGGGTCCTGGGTTTGATTGCCTGTTTGTGTGGGATTTGCATATTCTCCTTGCGTCTGTTTGCGTTTCCTATGCACAAAGCTAAAAAATATATCCCATACATTCCTCGTGTGAAAGCTAGAGATCACTGTACTGTACTGTACTTACTGTAATCCAATTACTTTACTGAGTAATGAGTAAAGTAAGGGATTACAAAAAGTAATGTGATTACATTTACTTTCTTCTAAGCACGCTGTCTTACAATGTGCTACAGTGTTGTGACTTTTGTCTTGTTGACTCGTGAGAAATGAATGACTAATGAGAGATGCCACTACTGCCATGTGATAGACACACATCAAACACTAAAAAGACTGAATATTACAAGCGGCAACATAAATCATGATAGCAAGGACGACAACTAGGGTGACCAGATCTTAACCGCACAAATGTGGGACAGCAGGTCTATTTAAGTGGGACAAATCATGAAAATGAGGGACACTTCACAGATGTAACAAAAAATATCATTATTTTCATTACATATGATATATTTTGTGAAATTAAGTGTATGTGCGTAAATAAAGTTGTGTGTTATAAGGAAAACCTAATACTCTATATTTGATTCCCAAAGTCTTTATTTTATAAGAAACTTAGCATTGATGCATAGGCCAAGAAAACAAAACAAACTTTATGCATACTCCCAGCCCAGAACTATTGCAGGAGGATTGTTCCAAAAACCCACTGCAGAAAGGAAAAAGAAAACAAATGAGTAAATTGTTATTATAGTGAAATAGCTAACATTTTCATAAAAAATAGGATATACTTACTTACTTCTTTCTCAACTTGTTCCTTCTGAAAGGTCTCTACATGCTCATCATGTATCCCAGTCCAGAACTGCAACGGTAGGATTGTTCCAAAAACTCACTGCAGAAAGGAAAGGATCAATTTGTTAAACATGTTATAGTCAAATAGGTACATTTACATGAAAATAAGAACTTACTTTACAACTTCTTCTTCAGCTTGTATTTTCTACTGCACTGTGCACATTCCAGCATGGCTTTGTCCTTTAGTGCATAACTGTAGAAATCTTTGCAGCTTTGATTGAAGTTGTTTTTAATCTGAATTTCAGACTTGATTAATTCTACAGAGCTTCGATTACGCTGGTCTGTCCAGGCAGCTGTCATGTGAGAAAACACCCTCTCAACTGCAGCATTGGTGATGGGGATACTGAGAAGAAATGATGCAAGGACGGACATATTTGGTGCTTGTTTGCCTTTGAGTAACAGTTCCCATCTTTCAGGAACAGGAACCTTTCTCTCCACAATTCCTAACTGATATGACATAGTTGAGCAGTACTCTTCATATAGGTCATCCAAGTTTATTTTACTTTTCAACTGAAGGATCTCCACTGCATCACAAAGCTGAGAGAAGTTGAACTGGCTCTTTAAAGACAGGCTGGCTACATGCTTCTGATAATTTCCATCAGAAAAATCATACCATTTCTCAAGATAAGCCAGTGCAGATGTGTAGAAGTTTGCTAGTTCAGTCTTTATTTTTCTCGCCTCTTGATTTGGGATGTTTTGTAGTAGGGCACTTGTCTCCATTCCAAAAAAGGAATCAGAATAACGTTGCTGCAGCTTTGTCTTCAAGTTGACCATGATGTCATACAAATCACATACAGTTCCCTCCTCTTTCTCAAGTACAAGCACAACTTCATGAAATACTTTTAGTGCATTACTGAGAAATGACAGGTACACTTGTAGTGTAAGAGTGTGTCCCTCTCCATCAATGTCCTTTTTGAACAACTCCCATAGTGACTTTGGACACTGATCTTCCCCCAGGGACAAAAAGTAGCTCTTGATGGCACTCCAGGAATCATGTAGCCGTGCTACAGCAGGCCACAAGCTCAGCCATCGAGTGGGAACGTGTCTTCTGATAGTAAAATAATCTTCTTCCACAAAAGCAAACACTGCTTTTAATTCTTCAGTCCGTTTGATGATGAAAAGTGGCTGAAAATTTTGTTGACCACCATCTCTATATCAATGTCCAGTCTGTCTCCAGCATGTTTAGCTGTATTATGCACTACGTGTGCCATGCAGTTTGCCTTAACAATACCACTGTTGTTTACTTTGAGTTTCTGGAAAACAGAGTTGTTTTTCTAGTAATTTACACTTGCATTATCAGCACAAAATGCTGAAACCATGTCCAGGCTTAAGCCATATTCATTGATTTTGTTTGTTATTTGTTTGTGTATACTGGCTGCCGATTCATCACTGTCTTCGTAAAAATCCAGTATCTTGCTTTTCATTCCTAATTCTGGAGTCCAATATCTGACAGACAGTGGGAAAAGTTTTGTACTTCCATGGTTAGAAGCATCTGAGGCCACTGAGAAATATGGTGAGGATGCAGTCTTTTCAGTCTGTAAATGATGTACAATAGGTGCCTTTAGTTCTTTTAGACATGTTTCGACTGATGCAGGAGCGAGGACGTCTGTCACTAAAGCTGCTGCTTTTGTGCGGCCACACGACAACTTTTTTGCAATCTCAGAATCAGGGCACACGACTGGGGTCAGTTTAATCTCACAGTCTGCACTTCTGTACGAGTGGGAATGCTGAACTGTGTGGTAAACGAGTGCTAATTCGGCTGCAGTTACCTTGTCACTTTGTAAATCTTTGCCTTTTTGCAGATAATCCTGCATGGACCTGGACGTGTCTTTTGTAAGCTGGTTTTTCATGTGGGTCTCTGATTTCTTGTGCCTCTTCACGTCGAATTCCCCACTGTGAGCGACAGAAAATTTACTTTGGCATAACTCGCAAAAAACAGACTGAGAATCTCCATTTAACTGCTTTTGCCCAATAATATACTTGTGCCCAGTTACGATTGTAGGAGCATCTCCGTTTTTTAGCGTTTTTTTCCATGCTTTTCTCCAAAATGCTAACATTTCTTCGGTCAGTGACTGACGTGATTTTCATTCGCGGCTTTGTTGTTAGGGGCGTGGCGTGCCGATGTTGTTAGGGGCGTGGCGTGCCGATGTTGTGGGGAAGAACCGCGGCGCGTGCTGACTAGCTGGCAGCTGTCAACTAAACCAAACCCCACCCCTATCAAAAGTATTTTTGCCCCCGCTGCAGCGCCGCATTACTCGCTCTTGGTTTAACTTTAGGGGA